ACCAGTCAGATCTGATTTGACGGTACAATCACACACACACACACACACACACAAACACACACCCCCCCCCCCAAAAAAAAAGAACTGGCTTTGACAAGCACTGTGGCAATTGGACAATTAAAACTGACTTTCAAGGGGGGAAAAAAAAGAATGAACTGGGGAGGAGGGTAGAGAAAGTAGTGCGACAATGAATGAATGAAACCCAAAATCTCTGTAGATGTTCATTAAAATTAATAAAATTTAACATAAAAAAAAAGATTGAGGTAACAAGACCTATCTCACAAACATGTTATCAGTAGGGGTCAGTCTTTGATGAAGGATATTATGCCTGGTAAGCACTCTTCTCCAGCACCACAGCTCAAAGGTATCAATTCTCTATCATCCCTATTCATTGTCCAACTCTCCGACGCATAGCATGTAGTTGCGAAGACTATAGCCTGGATCAGGTGCACCTTAGTCTCCAGTCTGATGTTGTTGCTCTTCAGTACTCTTGAGAGATCCCGCACAGCTGACTTTCCCAATGTAATTCGTCTCCTTATTTCCTGGCTGTTGTTACCAAGAGTGTTGATTGTGAAGCCAAGTAAACTAAAACTGTTAACTATCTCAATCTCTTCACCATCATGTTTGGGAGAGTGGAGGGACGGCACAGGAGAGGAAGACCCTCGATGAGATGGATCGATTCTGTGAGTGGAGTGGTGGGAATGAGTGTGTTTGAGATGGTGAGGTTGGCACAGGATAGAACGGCATTTAGGGCTCTTGTACATAGGGTCGCTATGAGTCGCAAGTGACTTGATGGCACATAACAATAAGCAGAGGGTCACTGAGACAAGAGGAAAATATCAACAAGATTGACAGGCACATGGGCTTAAGCAATGGGCTCAAATAACAAAAGTTACCATGATGACACAGGATCAGGTAGTGTTTCAGTCTATTGTACCTAGGGACCTCAGTACTAAAATGAACAGCACCAAATTACAGCAATAAACATATTGTACATGTGAGATTTAGTTGTCATGTTTCTTAATGTCATCTAATCTGGAATCAGGGAGCTCTGGAGGTTTAGAGATAAGGAGTTGTACTGCCTAACTCAAATACAGCTGGGTTCGAATTCACTAGTTTTTCCTTGGGATAAAGATGGGTAATCTCCTGTTAGATTTATTGCTGCTGAAAACCCTCTGGCAGGTTGACTTCCAACTTGAGGGTACAAATCCACAATAACCTGGGATAGTTCTCAATTTCCGTTATGACTTTAATCTTTGTGAGAATGCAAGCCAGTCATTTGTTAGCCTGTCTCTCAATTGGAATCTCTTCTGCTTTTTTAAAAACAAATTCTTATTTCTTTGAGGAGTTCTACGTGTGGTTTTGAATGAAGTACTTAAATGCCTGGAGAGTTGACTTTGACGCATATTTACAAAGCAGAATGGCTTTATGGGGTCATTTCTAAACCACAATCTTTACTCCACTCAGCCTAACAGCAAACAAGTCCCTTTTGGGAGAAGATTGGCTGTTCTTTCTCCCAGGGAGCCACATGTGACTCTGAATCCTTATCTTTCAGATAGCAGCAGGACACTTATGGTTAAAGCTGTAACATCCATGAATGATGATACTGGGTAGAATGGGCCTCCTTCCTCAAGTTCTCTTTCAGTCAGATGATGGTGAAAACTCTTACCTCTAAAATTATTTGTAGCTAAAACACAGACAGTAAAACATTTTTCTATTTAGAACTGATTTGCTTGTATTGCAGCCTCTCCCCTTACTGTATTGTCGTTGTTATGTGCATCGAATCGCTCAGGACTCATAACAAAAACAGCTCTGAACCCTGCTCTGTTCTGAGGTAGTCTCAATGACTCCAACACACCTATCCCCACTACCCCAGCTACTCTGTCAATTCATCTTATATGGGGTCTTCCTCTCCTGTGCTGTCCCTCCACCCTTCTGAGCATGATGTCCTTCTCCAAGGACGGGTCCCTCCTGCATCTGCACAAATTTAATTCAACGAAAAGTAAGTTTGCCCAAGAATTAGCACGTAATCTTTTTAATCGTTGACGCTTAAATGACCTGAGAGCTTCCATTTCCAGAATCTCACCTTTGCAGCGATGACCTATGCCCTAAACTCAAAAAACAAAGAACTACAAAGAGAGGTGGTGGGTGTTACTCATTAAAACCACTGAACAAATATTTGTTAAGCTTCTAGTGTATGTCAGGCTCTGTTCCAAGCTCTGGGAATACATCAGAGAACAAAACAAAACACAAATCCCTACTGGGGAATTCATTGGACAAATTAAAATGTAAATGAAAAAGGAGTAGAAACCCAGAGGCCCATTTTCTTACATAGGAAGGGGCATGCCTCCATGAAAAGGGGCAGTCCTGAGGTTGGAGATTCCAGTTTGAAGAATGCTACGGAATCCCTGGCCAATGCACTGAAAAGAAAATCTCGGGTTTATCCAAACGCGCAGTATAATTGGTTACTTGGAGCTCCAAAGGCCAGAAAGGACAGACGGGGAACAGAGCTGCTCTCAGTCTCTTCTCAGCCAGCCTCCTCATCCAGTGTCCAGCCTCTGGACCGCCGCACACTTTCAAAGTTTTCAGCTCCTGGTCCTGCGTCCTTGCCCGGCGGCACCTCCTGGGCATAGCCGCACACCTGGGACCGCGCACCGTGAAAGCCTCGCGGGGATGGAGCTCGCAGGAGTCAGCTCCTCCAAGCGACCTCTCACTGCAAAACCATCAGGGTGGTTTATCCAGGTCCCTTCCAGCCTCGTTTCACGCCCAGTCCCTGCCCCCGCGACGACCGAGGGACCAGGATGGCAACCGGGGAGAAGGCGGGAGCCCGTTTGTGACCTCGCATTCTGAAGTTTGGAAAGGGAAATCGCGAGCCTTGGGAACTCGAGTTGCAGTCGAGGATGGTACCCGGTGTCCTCGCGGGGGCTGGCAGCCCTACGAGCGTGGGATCCCGGTCCCTGCCGGGCTGGATCCCCGCCCTCTCTCTCTCGGGACGCGAACAGGCTACCTGAGCCGCCGGCGGCCCCGCCTCCGTGCGCGCTCCTACCCGGAAAAGCCACTGCGCGGCCTCTGGCCCTGCTTCCCCCGCAGGACCCGAGTCTTCCCACCTCCTTCCCGAAGGAAAGCCTAGCCCTCAGCACCCATAGATAGGCATCGGGGAGCGTCACCCTATTTGCTCCCTCAATGATAGGTTTGTGATTGCTTGCTTTGATACAGTGAAGACGGAGGGCTGCACTCCAAGAGACGGAATTCTGTTTCCTATATCGAATTTAGATATAAAACCCGGGAACATTTCGTCTCCGGCGCTTTGCTGTCTAAAATGTCAACAAGATCCCAGTCCCACACGGTGGCCAGGGGTTGACAAGGGACGCAACGCGGGGCTGGCGCAGAAAGGTCGTTCGAGGCTGACGACGTGGGGAGACAGGACCTGCGGGTAAAGCTTGCACCGGCCTGATTAGGAAACATTCCTTTTACGCAGCGCAGATACATTCTCCTTCAGGCTCTGGAGAGGGTTCCAGTCTCCAAGTAGCAGCCAGGATTAAAAGAGAGGCCACAATTGCCGGGATGGTTGAAGACAGGAAGGAGAGCGGAGTCCTGCGTCTCGATTCCTCCCGAAGACCCACTTCTCCACTGGCCCAAGAGCCGTTCTTGGACGTGACGTCCCACTGAGAAGTGTGGCTCAGCTGTGCTGGGGGCTCCAGAGCGGGGAGCGTGGCCCGAGGCTCGGGCCCCGCAAGGCAGGGCCCGGCCAGCTTCATCTGTTTGTCCTGAAAGGTGTGCCGGGCCCGGGAGCGGCTTTTCCGGTGCAGGACAATTGCCCTCGCCACCTCCCGGCTGCCACAGGCGGGTCCCTCCCTCGATCGGCAGTTAGTTCTCTGGGTCGCCGCGCCCTAGTCAGCTCCTCGCCCCAGGCCTCACCTCTGGCCTCCTTTTGCCTCCCCAGTCCGGCCGTTCGCTTTGACCCTTAAAAGCCTCCGACTCGGTCTCTCTGCGCCCTCCCCCCCTCCCCCCGCCCCGGCCCAGCTGGCCGTCCTCCGAACCCAGCTCCAGCCACCCGACACCTGTTGGTTACCTCTAAAGGCGACCACTCCTTTCCTTGACGTCTCCAGACAGCCCCCCTCGGGTCCTTCACCCCTCACCCCTTTCCCGTCTGGCCTCAGCTACCCTCTGGGTGGCAACTGCCCCTTCCCCGCCCCTCTTGTCTCCCCTTCCTCGCGCCCCCACCACCTCCATTCATCCAGCCATTGTCTCCCGCCCCCTCCTCCCCGCCCAGAGCGGCCTCCTCCCCCATTGCTGCCACGTAGTGGTTTGAAGGAGCCAATGGGCCGGCGCCGCCAGGTGTCTTTTACCTGCACCACGTGGGGGAGGGGGCGGGCAGGTAGAGCCACATCCCAAACAGAAAAGCTTTCAGCCATTGCGCGCGCCTCCCGGAGGAGTCGTCCTGCTCCCTGCTTTATGCATAGCCGCTCTGGCCATTGAATCCAAAAAGGGCAGGCCCGCTGCGCCCTCCTTCCCACCCCCCCTTCCTGCCCGGGGTGTGGAGCTCGGGCCAGGTGTGGGCTTGGTGGCTGGTTACCGCCTTTTGCACCAGTGGCGGCTAGGAGGGGGGGTGGGCGCGCTTTCTTTTCTTTTTAGAAAGAAGGTTTGAGCCCAGGTTTCCCCTGCCGCCCTACCTCGCCGCCTCCCGACCCCCCCTTTCCCCCCTCCCCACCTATCGTCATGACGGCGTCTCCCGACTACTTGGTGGTGCTTTTTGGGATCACCGCTGGGGCCACCGGGGCCAAGCTGGGCTCGGATGAGAAGGAGCTGATCCTGCTGGTGTGGAAAGTGGTGGATCTGGCCAATAGGAAGGTAATTCTCCACGTTTTTGGGGGCCCCCTGCAAGGCGTGGGACAAGAAGTTTGTTGTAAAAGTTTTAAGGTAGGAGGAGGAGTCGGTAAACAAGCGCTCGTTTACTCGCTTTGGGAACCCTGGACGCGAGGCCTAAGAGGAGCCGGAGGAAAACCAAAGTTGTTGGCCCACTGCTTTCTGACCCTTCAGCCCCCACCGCGGAGCCGGCTTCTCTGGAAGCACGAGCAGAGCCAGGGTGGGGTCCCTGCGGCCGTGGCGCCCACTTAGGGGGGCCTTTCCGACCGGATCCGGTGGGTGCGGGGCGGGGGCTGCCACGCGCCTGCCGGTGGGCATCGATGCTGCTGCCCGACCCTCGGGGAGGCCCGCTGGGGTGGGGGTGGGGGGAGCGAGGGAGGAAGGTGAAATGAGATGGAGCCGGCGCAGCTGATGGAGGGAGAAACTGACTACTGCTTCTCTCCCGGGAGGTCGGACAGTTGCACGAAGTACTAGTCAGACCGGATCAGTTGGAACTGACCGAGGATTGCAAAGAAGAAACCAAGATCGACGCCGAGAGCCTGGCGTCCGCGCCGCAGCTGGACCAAGCCCTCCGACAGGTGACAGTCCTGGGCCTCGCTGCCCCCGGGTGTCCACGCATGCCTCCTGGGCCGAGCTGGAAGTGTACACTGGGCCATATGGTGGGAACGTTCCTTCCAGGGCCACCCAGACGCAGCCAGGTGGCCGGGTGTCGCGGTCCCTGTTTGCCACCCAAATCCAAGCGTCTTGGGTCGAAGCTGGCAAGCTTTTGAGTTGTGTCCTGAGTCATTGCAGAGGCCCAGCCAGGTTTTCCTCGTCGGGCTTCCGTAATGAGGAGTACGCCCAGGGTTTGGACCGCGGTGCCCGGTGTCCCCGCGCGCGCCTGGCCTCTCCCAGGGCAGGGGGCGCTGTGGGGCAAGCCCGCGGGCGAGGCGCAGCCGCGCGCCCCAGGGCTTCGCGTGCCTTCCGGGGTTTCAAAGCTTTGCTTCCTTTCGGCTTCAGGTGCCTCGGTGTCTGCGCCGGGGAAGGTTTGCGGGTCCGAACTTGTAGGACAGTTCCCTGGGTCACCGGGGGGGGGGGGGTGGCCTGAAACCCGGCTGCGCGGCACCGGGCGGTGCGTCACAGGTGTTTAACACCTGTGGAGGAACAGTGGCGCTCCGCTGGCCTCGTGGCCCTGGAACACAAATTGTGAATTAAGGGAGCAAATACACTCCTGCAGGAATGTTGCCAGCCTACGTGACCATTATGCATATTCGTTTATCAGAAATTTGTATCGTTTATAAGCCTTAAAAAGAAAAGGAATACTAGGGAATGATGTAATCCGAAGGCAACCCGCTGATGAAAAAAGACTTCTGGCGTCAAAATCATGAATGGATTTTCGGAAACTTGAAAGGGGGAGAGTAACCTTGTGGTGGTGGTGGGGTTTGTTGAGAAAGTTGAGATGGAAAAGAAGCTGTCAGCGTTGTTGCTTCTCAGTATTTGTGAATCTCTTCGTCAGTTTCATCCCTGTGTGTCTTGGTCTTTTTTTTTCTTTTTCTTTTTCTTTTTTTTTTTTCAGTTTAACCAGTCAGTGAGCAATGAACTGAATATTGGGGTAGGGACTTCCTTCTGTCTCTGTACTGATGGGCAGCTTCATGTCAGGCAAATCCTACATCCTGAGGCTTCCAAGAAGGTAAGAGGGTTCTCAAAAAGCGAGTGGACCTTTGGCGGTGACTGAAGGGATTTTAAAAAAATTTTTTTTTTAAAAAGCAAACAACTAATGGTTTATTCCGGTTTATTCTTCCATAGATGCGCTATACTTGAATGCCTAGGTGTTCTGAATTGCAGTGATTCTTTTTAGAAATATTCTGGTGATTAATGAAATACTTTCTGATTTTGAATCTTTTTTTAAAATGCTTATCATCGTCTTTCAACTAATATGATGTCTGACTTTTGAATATTTAAAATTACAAATAAGGAGAGATGCGTTTTAATACATGGTGATATTTCCATTTGAAGGACAGGGAGAGGGAAACACAAACATTTTTAGTTGTAATTACACTATTTTCATGAAAAGTTCTTTACAACTTGTAACCTAGTGAAACATTAGTTATACCACACTGTTCTTTGACTAACTTCAAAATGGAATGCTTCTCCTGTCACAATAATAGGGTTGTTGTTGTTGTTAAGTGCCAGCTGAGTCGCATATTGACCCTATGAAGGAGAGTTCTCGAAGCTTGTGTCCCTTTCATCCTCTCTCCAGGTTCGTATAATAGGGTTAGGCCATCTTAAACATTTTGCTGTGGTTTTGTTTTTTTATATATACAGAAGGTGAAGGAATGAAAAAAAAAAATACAAGTTGGAGATTGAATGTGATTATTTCTCTACCCTCCTTGAGACTTATTGTGAAAGGCAAGTTGTGAGCTTTAAAAGATGAAAGTAACTATTTTTATGTTTGAGACACATCTTACAAGGGAAATAAAGTACTTAGACAAACAATAGATGGCATAGGTAAGTAGTCTGTGCCAATTTTTCTCCTTTCAGTCAAAATAGGGAAAGGGGAGGAAATGAGAGATAAGTGCATATTGATAGAAAAGCTTGAGGAAGTAATTCAAGTTCCTATATCTTCACAGGTAACAAAATTATTTCCTCTATAGCAAACTCGGTAATTATTTGAAAAGAGGATTTTAAAAGTTGAATGTTAGACTGCTACCTGTCCCCTTAATCTGTGTATTATTAGATATATCTAATATTTGTAAATTATATATATTTTATAAACATTAGATTTCCCTTCATTCCAATAGAAAGGGACAAGATGTAACTTTTATTGGGCACAAAGAAAATGGTTATTATGTTTTATTTGTTGTTGCTTATTAGTTTTGATAAACTGCTTCAGATGTGAGAGAAGACATCTAGAGAAAAATTGTGACATTTTCCTAAGCCACTTCTATTTTAATTATAGGAAGTTGAAACAATTAATTTAGTATCATAATGAAAATAATTATTAATGAAAGAAACTAGGGAACTCATAAAAAGAAATAATCCTGCCATTCAAAAGATATTTTGTTTGTTGCAATGATCTTTAAAATTAAGATTTTAAAACTAAGGTAAAAAGTGCTTTAACATAATATTTTTAGAATTTTTTTATTTTAATTGTGATGTTACTGAGCTTACAGAAGAGTTGGACTTTGATTTATTTATTGTACATTTTACTCCCTCCCCCAGTTCACTTTCTCTTTTAAAATATTCATACATTATTGCACACAAAAAAGACAATATATTAACTTTTTAAAATTTTAGTGTCAACATTTAGTCTTCTATATTTTCGTAGGAAAAGGTGACTTACCAGGAAGGGCCTACTACATTGACTTTGGTTTTAGTGTAATATCAACAGCCTCTGCAGGTTACGAGCAAGATCAGTTCCTAAGTGTATCTTTCAGTCAAGTTTGTTGGTAAGTTAGAACAGGTGCACATTGTTCTTATTTAGCCTTAGTTTAGTGCAAGAAAATGTTTTCAGGAGGCTTTTCAATGATTTAAAAGCTTCACGAGCAACAAGTGCAGGTAATTGTGATAAAGCTGTTGTGACTTTCAAAGTGAGACCAAACTTATACATTATTTAGTAAGACAACTAATTGAAAAGCTAATCACAGGAAAGTGAAGCCAAACAGTGAGCTTGGCTGTGACTCATTAGCTGCAGCTACTACTTAACGCACAGCTGAGATTGTGAAGATGGCTAGGGTATAGAGGGCTGCTATAAGTGGGCGCTGACTCGACAGCACCTAACAAGAGTTGTCTGTAAGGCAGCTGTAACTTCCCTAGTGTTTGTATTTTGTATGAATGTAGCTAAGTTGAGGAAGAAGAATAGACAGTCTTCCCACATTACCTTGTATGGTCAAGTGGAACTAACTCAAGTAGACCAATCTTTTCTTTTTAGACATCAATAACTGGGTGATAGGGGTTGGTGTTTCGGAATTAGTGAGACTGGCTCAGGACAGGGAAGGATTCAGAACAGCTGTACATAGGGTTACTATACATTGCAGACAACTCAATGGCACATAACAATAACATGCTATGACAGGTTTGAAAGCAGGAGTGGTATCCACTTCCTAAATAACATGCCTCCAGAAACTATGAACTTTGATAAATGTCGATAGTTGTAGAGGGGCATAGGCCTTTTGTTCTTAAGGTTGCTATGAGTTGTGCACAACTTGAAGGCAATCAACAAGAAGTTCTTTTTATTACAGCTTTTAAATTAGTTTTTTTAGATGGTGTTAAGGATTCACTTTTGAATGCTGTGGCCACGATGCAGTGATATTTGCATGAGCAACTCATGTCTATGAAAATCCTATAGTAGGCATTCAGTGAAGGAATATATTAATACATAAATGCTACAGGCGTACATGTTGTTTAATGCCGTCGAGTCGTAGACGACTCATAGCGACCCTATGAACGAACAGCCTGAGCACTGTTCATAGAGTTTCTGGAGGCAAGCCATTTCGGAAGTGGATGCCGCTCCTGCTTCCAGGCTTGATTTAGTCGGGAAGCTCCAGCCAACACTGTCCACCATGGGTGCCCATTACTACGATTGGCACATCACTGTCACAGGCTTCAGCATCACAGCAACCACGAGTTACCTCTGTACAGCAGCGCACAGACCAGTGCTATACCACCTCCTGAATCTTACGTGTACAAATGAGTAAATTCCCACTAAGTGAACAAAAATATTTGAAATTCTAAGAAAAAGATTTTTAAAAATTCTAAGAAAAAGATTTTTAGTTTATTCCTTCCAACAAAAAACCAGTAAAATAAGATTTGTTATTAGCCTAATAGTTGAGCTTTGTTTACTGATGTCCGTCAAAACGGTGCTGGTAGCTAACAACAGATGATCTTACTACTTTGCCTTTGAGATTTGTAATACTTTTTTTAAAGTCTAATTTAAGTCATTGCGTACACCCTGATTAATGATTAGGAAAAAGATTGCACAGCAAGAATATGTTTATGGTAATTAAGAATATTGTTTATCTAATTATGCATGAACATATTCATTGTCAAGAACCCTATAATCAGAACTATTAAATTTTACTGTTAAATTTGAGAACTGACAAGGCTGCTGTTGCTGACTGAAATACAAGTGATGTTAAATGTGAAAAGATTGTACTGTTTTAATGCAAGACATGTAAAGTGTAAAAACCTGAATAAGCATCTGAAATGTTTTGAATGGCATATTTACTAGAGCACAAATACTGTTAGCCATTACTTTAAGATGACTTATTCTTTCCTCCCTTGATATTGGTACATGTATTCTAATATTATAACCAGTATAGGCCAAACTATGAAGAAGAAATCCACTCTTGCATTTTTTAATTCTTAGGTTCCTAATTATAGTGGAGTCTTTGAATCAAATTTAAATAATTGACAGTATCTCTTGTTCTTCCTCAGAATGTATTATTGCCTGAATGCTTCTATTCGTTTTTTGATCTTCGAAAAGAATTTAAGAAATGTTGCCCTGGTTCACCTGATATTGACAAATTGGATGTTGCAGCAATGACAGAGTGTATCCTTTTAATGAGACTCAAGAATAGTTTGAAAAGAGGGCTCCAGGAAAAAATATGGTAGTTCAAGAAACATTAATGCATTTTGTTTTATCAGCTTGTCCAAAGTTTTTCTACTATGCTAAGATAAAGAGGAATTGTACCGCTATGGGCTTATTTCAAAATGCTTATAATTTTGTGAATTTGAACAGTGATTGCTAGTTGAATGGATTTAGAGAAATGAATGGTGTTTGTGAGGTGACTATGCAGAATTCCATTTCAGAATTAGGCTGATTTGTGCCCATGACTTTAGAGAACAATTTGAAGACTTTTTAAAAATATAGGATTTATTTTTGACTGCTTTGAAATGAATATGATTTTTTTTTTAAAGTTATAGGCATGTGCTCTTTATTCATGTTGTTCACTCGCCCTTCTTTTAGCCTCCCCTGCCTTTTTAAAATATGTCTGAGACCTTGATTATGGTAGACCATCACTGGAGAGTGAGTCAGAATTTCCCTGCAAATTTTTTAATTACTAAGATAACATATTTTATGCATTATATATTATAAAATTAAATTTTATAATCACAAATCTTGTAATCATGAGTGCCTATCTTCTCTCATCCAGAAACTAAGTAAAAAGTTCTAAATAATAAGTGAGCATGTGCTTAATAGATCACATGAGTAAGTTACATTACTATCAGAGTCGTCATAAAATAAAGTATCCAGGATATTTTCAAGTTTGTGAGCTGTAGGTATTTGTTGTTAAACTTTCAAATTCTTTTTCAGAAACTAGTCTGCTTTTTCTTATTTTTAAAAAAATTCCTAAAATGCAAAATTGTGTTTGTGTGTTTTTCCTAACTGATTATAAGCACATCAAACTCACTTTTTTCCCTAAACTAATTTTTGTCTTACTCTTGAAAGTAAGCTGGAATTTATATTTAGTGATAATTGGTAGTGATTGGTCCAGAGTGCTAAAAAACAGCAATGTCAGTCTAGTATGTGTTTATATATATTACACAGTGTATAGATATATTGCAAAGTTATATTCTTAAATTGTATTTTAAGATACAAAGTTGACTTTTAGGTGAGTCAGTATGATACTCTGCTAATTATTTGCTATTCCTTTAATTCAGTTTTGTAATCTTCTGTTAATTTTTTTTTTAAGTTCTAGGCAAATGAAAATTGGAAGTGTTTGACTATAACAAGGGATGAATTGTGGCTAAACTAAAGTTGGTTTCTATTTTTTCTTTTGTTGTTTTAGTTGGTTTCTATTTTTAAAGTTTAAAGGATTGATGATCTCATGACCATTTAGTGATGCATTTATTGAAAAACTAGGGGCCTGTCTATCCCTTCCAGAATCCATTCCGTTTCTTTGGGCTTTCTCTAGGAAGAATCTTAGCAGTCACATTATTGAAATTAGATTTTAATCTTAAATTTTGTTTCCATTTAGCAAGTAAGAAAAGATTTTCCTGGCATTGGTTTTTATTTCACATTAAGCTTTGGTCAGTTATTTATGACTCCTGTTCAGACTTAAGCCACCATTCCTTAGGTTAACCACAGTCATAAAATTTGAATGTCAATTTGTCCTAATGTGTGCAAATATTTCCACCGCCCCTGAACAGAAGAGTTGTTCTATTCTTTTAGGGGACTGCAAGATATCCTTTCTAATATTCAAATGACACTGGCATTTGAAAAGACCCTTGGTGGTTTTGTCAAGGTGATAGGCTATCCAATGCTCCTGAAGTTGCTATTGCCAACCCTTGTAAAGGAATAAGAGTATGCAGGTTGACTTAAGTATTGTAGACACGTGGTATTAATCAGTTTGCTAGTTTCCTCAGTAGACTTCCAGTACTTTGAGTATTGGGAATATGGTTTATTAACTTTAATCCAATGGTGTTTTACATCTCTCTGATATTTGTGTTTATAATATCTTTTAAAATAAAGGAAAACACATGAGACCTTTAAAATAGTAATATGTAATATTTAAATAATATCCAGAATTTGCAGGCATTTATGGAACATCAATTTTAAAGACCGAGTCTGTTCTCATTTTGTAAATGAAGGAAGACCAAGGTGTAGTCATACAACCTGGTCTGTAATGTTGAGTGGACTTAACTTTCCTGAGAGTTTCTTGGGTTCTCCAAGCCTCACTTTTTTTTAAAAAAAAATTTTATTCTAATTATGATTTTTTATTTTATTATTTGTGTGTGTGCGTGTACCTTCAAATCAAATCTGACTGATACAGGAGGAGATTGTCCCTCCTTCCTCGGCAGAATTCTGGAGTGAAAGCTTTGCAAACTATCAGGCCCTATATAAATGAGAAGTAAGGCCACTTTGAAAAAGAAAAGGTTTATGAATTCCTTGAATGCCATTGTGGCTGTCATTTTAGCATTTCATTCTTACGGTTTTTGTATTAGTTCTAAAACCACGTCTGGAGTTAAGCCTCTCTGCATTGTTGTAGTTGCAGTTTTGTTTGCTGTTGAATTAGATAGTACTGCATGGAGGGAGGACCTCACTCATTTAGCAAGTAAGCTGTGGGTGGCATTTTGAAAGCTTTTGCCTAATCAGGTGAGGTGGCGAGACTGTGTTGGATGTGATAATAAGCATGTGGCTTCAGTGATTTAATTCACTGATTTATTCTCATTAATCAAAACCTCTGCCATTTTATTTATTTCACTTACCAGGTCTTTACTAAGTACTTGAACTGTTGTTGTAATGAAGATGTGTAATTAGGGAGTGGGTGCAGTGATGATGGGAGAAACTTAACAGTGGAGAACATAAAAATGTAGCCCAGTGGGAAAAGCAGCACCCATTTTATAACTGGGCAGATTGAGATTTCCTTAGTTAAATGTATCAAAATTTGAGCCCAAGTCCCAATTGTGGGAAAATCTTGCTTATTAACATGCTATTTGCCATCATCAAGTAAGAACCACCTCACAGCTAGCCCTCCCGTAAGTTTTCAGAGACTGTGAATCTTATGTGAGGAGATTACTTCTCTTTGTTCCATGGAGCAGCAGGTGGATTTGAACTGCTTGCCTTTGGATTTTTAGTGTAACTCACTGGGCAAGCCACCACGGATACCTTGACTAGGTGGAGTTATTTTCCTGAATGAACAAAGATCTTATGAAGATTATTTTAAATAATGACATTTAAGTTTATATTCTATCTTTCCTCAGTACATAGTGAGTGGTCAAATCATTCAGCCATGAAATGAAGTAAATTCTGAGTTATAAAATTCCTGTCTCGTAGGGCATGTGTTCTTTGATATAACTGACAAATGCTAGTTCAGGAGTTTAAAAAAATAAAAAAATCACTATATCACTCTTGAAACCCATCCAATGCTTGGTAGATATGTGGCTGTATGTTAGTAGCAGATTGTGACATTAGCCTGTATTTAAAAATAGGGAGAAAAATATTCTGAGTAGCATAGTGGGATGTACTCAGATCAGAGCCTCTTTTCACTGTACCCCCAGCCTTACTTTCCCAGTCTTTAAATGGGTATGACTGACTATAGATAATGTACCCACAGAGTTAAAGCCTGGCCCGCTCTGTATCCTCTAACATGACTGAAATCCTGCTTACCTCTGCAGGTCACTGGGTGTCTCAAACAAGGAAAAAACCCAACCCAGCTGCTGAACAACTTCCTTATTGACTTATGCTCTTGTTTAAACTCTCTACACTTAAAATGATTTTATTTTCTTAGGAGACTTACATAGACTTCTTAAGACGTAAGCTACGTGTTCCTCTGGGTACATTTTTTGGATTACTTGGGTTTCACAATTTATAAAATACTGTGGAATTCATTGTGTCTTTAAATAGTTATTTGTTCTGATTAGTTGAACTGGTCTTTGTAATCCTATGGACCTTTGTTACCCTGCTTAACAGGTGGGGAGGGTAGCACTGAATCTTCCTTGGTACCTTCCTGTGCAGGAAAGGGATTTAAAATATCTCCAAGTGTACACTTAAGCTAGGTTAGGAATATAACTTGTGGAGGTGGGAGGGACAGGAGGGGCGGAGTTATCTTTGGCATCTCATTGGCATGATGTGAGCCAGATCTGCAAATTTCCCTGGCTTGTGGTCTATAATAATTTAAATGACTAGAAATTGTATTCTTTGCCAGCACTCAGTAAAAAAGGACTTGTTAGGTTAACGACATGTGGTTTATTTTAATTATAAAATAATTTACTTCTAAGATGATAACTTAGTAATTCCAGGGCACAGTTATTACGGTTTTACAGATGGTTCTAGAAATCTTGTCAATATGTCTCCCTTTCCTAATTTGCTTATCCCATTGAAATGACATTTTCTACAGTAAAACTTTTTGTTTCTTGTTGTATTACTCCTTCCCTTATCCCAGAAGGTAATTGTCAATTTAGTTAGAAGTAATTTCTAACAAAATAGAAAGCCCTCCATTACAAAAATACCTCCTGAAGTAGCAGTTGTTAGGTATTGCCTCCATATTTTCTCAGTAAGATTCAGAGGAATGAAAAGAACTATGATTTTCAGATTCTTTTCTCAGAATTCTAGATTTGTTTCCTATCTTTCCTTTATGCAAATTGTAGTTTTTAAAAAATTATTTATTTTCTTGTTGTGTTCTGTTGAAACAGATCGACTGGCACAGGGGGAGATTGACCCTCCTTCCCCAGCAGAGAATCTGGTGGATTTGAACAGCATGCCTTTGGGATTGGGAAATCTTAGTTCTTTTTAACTGAAAAGTTGTTTTTTGTTTTTTTTTTTAACTGAAAAGTTTTTTTGTTTTTTTAACTGAAAAGTTTTTTTTTCTTTTTTTTTTTTGAAATCTTAGTTCTTAATAGAAGGATTAAAAGACAAAAGTTAGAACCTTTTTCTTGCCATATTTTATTTGTTCAGTAATCTAGACAGTTATATGGTTATGCACTAATGTAAATAAAAGCAAACACATGCATCAAAAGAAGTGAAAAATGGCTTTGTTTTGTGAGTTAGAATTTTGAGCTGAGATGCAATTAAGAATATAGTTTAAACTTTTTCAACAGTTGAAGTGT